GCAAACACAAATTATTTGACACGGCATCGAACGATTCATAAAATTACATAGATGCAGCGGTTTTCGCAAACTTGTTCGAACACTTGCGACATGTGCAGCCCCTGTCACTGTTCATCGCAGACTAACACGTTGACTCGCCTCCCTCTCTCTTTTATATATGTAAGTTCAAGTCTACAGTTGCGTAGTTATTTATATACAGCGTTTTTCCGTCTTACCTCTCGACCCCATATTACCCCGCGTTCCCCTATTTTTGGAAAGATTAATCGGCAACAATTGCGCAAAAGTCACTCCGCAATATTTTCGCGAGAATTACTCCGCAGTATCTTGGCGAATTTTATCTCCGAAATATCACGGCGAATTTAATTTGACGGAAATTCTTCTCTGAAGAACGTAATCACGAACGCGAGGAAAGATCACGGCGTAGTTCCTGTCCCTTCGACTAATATAAACTCGACGTATAAACAAAGCTTCGTAAAAAAAATAATAAATAAAAAAAATAAACAAGTTCTTATCTTATTTTCTCGTAACGTGCCATCTGTATTCGGAAATATCAAATCTCGCGCGGCAGATCTCGGTGGGTAAACAAAACAGAAAACTAAAAACGACCGCGAAGTCAACGAGTCCGTGAAACGGAACATTAACAACCGGAGATACGCGAAACTACATCTCACACCGGATTTCGTAACATTTTACCGAGGCTCACTTTCGCGATGTATAAACTAATTTAATTTCCACGAGATTCACGTCTGTTTGTGAAACGCAATTTGTGACGCGAGCGCGCATATTATCAATCTGGAGAACGAAAAACCGCGGCGCAGGAGAGATCGCGTAGTCCATTAACGCGAGCGGAATAATTGCGAGTTTCACGCACGGTGGCACAATTCTGACATGTATTACGCAGTGTTGAGAACAATTAGGAGGTCACATCGAAATAAATAGTTTCATTGAATAATTCCGCGATTTCAGCGAAATGCAACGGCAAATGGCACTGCTGCCGTATTCGTTTAAATACGCACGGTAAACGTGGTAATTACGTATTCGGAAAAATGTTTAACATTACATTTCAAGAATGTGCTATACGATGCTGTAAAAAGGGCACTATAGTGGCATATCTAGACTGATAATTAATTATAGTTTTACGGATCGTGATTTTGTCTCATCTGATGATTATTTTTGACATTCCTAATGATCGTACAATACAAAAGAAATTGTTCAGTGGAAATCGGGAGAAGGCAGAAAAACGGCCTTATTGATCCTCCTTCTTTTACAGAGGAAATCCCCTCGTAATTACGTTGCTAATGTGAAAATAAGTAAAAAATGAAACATCGTTGCTAACGATGGTTGCTAATGATGGACGATTTAGGAGCAGTATATAGTACATTCTTATCATGTCGGGTCTGAATAATTTGAGAAAATGACGAAAATAACGAACGATTTTGTCGGACGTGTTCATTGGCCCGTGTCGAGCATTATTATAATCGCGTCGACATACTTGGCATATTATTATAACGCGCGACCTTCGGTGCTCTAAACCGTATAATCGACTGTGCTCCGCAATCTGATTTATTTCAGTATTTAACTTGTTTCATAATAATATATTCAAAATGTTATACTGTATCATGTTTTGTTGTTTAACACACGTTTCAATAACAAATTTCATATTCCTGTACATCCATACGCTATTTAGCAAAATTCGATAATTACGACGCAATTCTGATCTAATAATTCTATAATAATCGAATAAAAATATTAGAAGAAGAAAAAAATAGAAGAAAGCGAAGGTATATCTTTAAAATATCACAAAATTTGTCGAAGCATTAAAACACCGGTTTTGCAGCAATTCTGTGACTTTACGTCAGGAATGATTGCGACGTTATTTGATTTTCGTTAGTTTATAAGGTTAATGTTTGAGCAGAATAATTGAAAATATACAGTCTACCGTCTGAGACTTTTGAGCAGATCGATTCCCAATAACACGTTACGAGAGAGGGAGGGAGAAAGAAAGAAATAATTAATATTGCCTTGTCGGGACTGCGAATTAACGAATAATTTTCACGAACTATCCTTGGCTTCTTTTTCTCATCACGATGTGGAGGTGTTTCCCATAAGGCCGGGGATTTGCCCTTAATTATCAGAAATCAATACCGTCGATGTATATTACGGGAGAATTTGATCTCTCTCTTTCTCTCTGTCCTCCTCCCATTCTCCCTTTTTTCTTTCTCCGTCTACGAGAAACAACAGCTGCGAAATATTACTTTCCTACCATCCGCGATATACGACGTTTCTCTTCGCTGACCATTCTGCTCTCCACGGAAAACACACGACCACCTGCATATTTCATTCCATGTGAATTTCATTTTGAAAATCGCCCGTGCTGAAGCAAAAAAAAAAGAAATATGTCGAAAACACCGACTCGAAACGAGACACGGAGGAACTGTCGACTGATTCTCTGCGGAGCGCCGTCGGAAGAAAGCGGAATTGAACGTCGGTATAACACATAAATTACTCAGGCATTCCGCTCACCTTATTCCCCATTCTCGACGCAGCAGCGCCACTTGGCGCGTCCTGTATCAATTGAGAGAAATCGATACACTTCACCCTACCGAAGGCGAAGCTTTCGGGGACACTCACGATTCTCGCCCACCGGGGAATGCAAAAAAGCGGGCGTGAGGGCGCTTTTAATTCCGCTCTCGTGTCTTACCGGGCGCGGCGGTCACGTATTTTCAGCCGCACCTCCCTCTCCCTTCACCCCTTTCTCTCTCTTTCTCTCTCTGCCAACCTACGCGAAGGTCGTTCGCAACGCGCGCGCGGAAAATGTCCGACGGCGTATGTGCAAATGGCTTTAATTGCCGGCGTAAATTATGTCCGCGTTATTTCCATATTTCGTCGACCCACGCCCGCTGGCGAGCCGTCTGGTCACCGGCGACTGCCATTACGGTGCTCTTAGTATCGCGGAAAATGAATATGAAATTGCTAATTGACGTGTAAATTACCGCGCGGGGACTGTTTCGCCGAACCGCCGAAACGTCGTCGATTATTTTCAACGGGGCGACCGTCTGCTGTATAATACGCTCGCCAACACGCTCGCACATCCGCGCCATCTCATATTTATTTAAGCGCATTCAGGTGTATCAACGATGTATGCACCCATAATGTAAAATAATGAAAAAAGAAAAATGTGAAAAAAATTACAAATTGGTTTAAATTGCATTTAAAGGTGATAGCAAAAGTTTGACGGTAATTCAGAACCGGGATCAAAAGTTATTCCACTTTGAAGAAAGTTGTAAGATGGAATCAGTTTGATAAGAATTCGACGAAACTTGCGCTTGCACTATATATTGAAATATTATCTGACTCATTGCTCGTGTAGTTAGAAAAAGATTGACCATTCGAGAGAGAGCTGAGATGTTCGTAACTAAAGTTGACACTTTTTATGCGTGTTCTTTGAGATTAGCGTGTTATTTTTAATTTCTACCTTTAATATTTAAACTAAAAATGAGATTTTGATGCGAAACTACTATAGTATTAAAAATTAATACGCACATATTACATACAAGTTACAGTATTATTCACCGTTTTGCTTTGAAAATACACAGCGATGTAAAGTTCATAACTTGCAGTAGTATTACAATTTTGTTCCAAAATAACATTTATTGTTTCGGTGGTAAGATCAATTGTGCAGGAACGTAATTTTGCTTGATGAATATGAAATTTATAAGTAGTCTCCTTAAAAATATGGATAATACATCCTTAAGCACGCGCCTGCACATTACCTGAACGCGCATCGCGCCTCGATGATTTCACCTCGTAACACACCCATTGTGCTTCTGCTCAATGTTTCGGCAGAGTTTCCAGTCGAACCTTGTGAAGTTCCCGTCTTCGTCGTAAAGTCTCCTCCACTTTGCCTTGCTTCACCTTGCCGTCTCTGGCTTGCTTCGCCGTCATGACGGGCGGCGAGCAAAGCGACTGAAATCCCCGCCGATTGGATCGTTATCGCGGCGGTGAATTTTTCTAAGGCGATGCTGGCGATGATGGATGTATCTGAGAATTTTCATCGACGTTGACTAATGACGCTCCGTTACCGAGCGCGGTTTCGGCTGAATGGGAAGTAAATTGCGCGGCCCATAGCCATGGGCGATGTACGCGCGCGGAGGTACTCTCGGGCGAGTCGAAGCGCACGAATTCGGAGTTTACGTCGGAGTGTGCGAGCGACTCTCCTTTCTTGGCGGACTTTGCGCTCCAGCGAAAGAGGAGCTCTTCCGAAAGAGCCAAGTGAGAAGATATACGCTAGATAAGTGTTGCGAAATACTTGGACTTTTTTTATCGTCGCGTCACTCATTATCGGCGCCCTCTTTCTCGCTCCCGAAGGCAATTTCACGCGCGATTGAATCGCCTATATAAAATTCAAGACGAAATTAAAGATAAACTCGCTCCTCGCAGCGCTTCGTGAAACATTGAATTGAAGGTCTTCGGTATTGGGGGTGGATTCAAAGCGAAAAAAGAATTTTTCGCTGATCCCAAGAGGCGTTTCTTAAGTGATATTTCAAAGGATTGATGCTATTTTACAGTTTAAGTAGTAATATCGGGGAGCGAAATGACGGAGAGAAAGAATGGAGGAGATGAAGAGAATATGCTCATCAAAGGTTATATAAAGCTCAAGCGGAGTGAAACGACAGGTCGTACTTGGGAAGGAAAGAAGGAAGGCGGCGAGAAGCCGAGAGCGAGCGCGAAAGAGAGAGAGAGAGAGAGAGAAAAACGGGACTTACCTGGACCTTTCAAACTTGACGCTTTGATAAATTGCCGTCGAGCGCCGCCCTCTCTCTCTTCTCTCGCTCTCTCTTTCTTTTGCGAATCGCACCGTCCTTTACCCTTACTCACGCTCGTTTAATTGCGTTATTAGAAGCGCAGCGATACTAATAATTTCGCGGCAACGATAATCCGTCGGAGCCGCTTCGATTCGTGTCATAACTGAGCGCATTTTTCCGCTCGCTTGCCGGCAGATCGGTGTCTGGAAGTCCTGGGAGAAGGAGGGTCTGGACATCAAGGACATCGTCTGGCCGGGCAATACCCACACGCCGCCACAGGGTGTACCGGAGAAGTTTTACCTGAAGATAACCTTTCTGGAGGAGCCGCCCTACATCAATCTCGCACCGCCCGATCCCGTGACCGGAAAATGCCTGGTGGATCGCGGTGTTCACTGTCGAGTGGCCAAAGACTCCGACATGGAGGAGTAAGTATGAGAAATTGGATTCTTTTGTCGACCGGGTATTCGTGCTACCCCGATATCCCCCGCACGTCGATATCTACTAGGGGGGGTTTCACGGATTCGCCTGTTCATACGCTCGCGTTGTGTCCCTCCGTGCCCTTTCCACGTTTCCTCACGATGCGATTACCTTCTGATTTATGTGTATACACCTCGTGCTCTTCCGGGGATTATTTCCGAAGCACGCTGCGCCTCGAAGTACGATTGTGAACATTTCTCCGGAGGCTCCGGAGAAATGATTGAGGCATGCGATTTTTCTTCCTCGGTATTCACTTTCGCATTTTTAATGAACTTATAGACGTGAAGATATTTCAAAACTTTTCCTATTTATATTCATATTTAATGGTCAAACGACGAAATTATTCATTTAATGAGGATCCGCGACCGCTCGCTCTAAACGATGTGCCTACGTTTGACCGTAAAACGACTCAACTGTTTTGGAAGTTCGCAATTCGCGCTCTTATACGAGCAGATGCGCTTCCATTCAAGGAGATAATGTGTCTCGTATTACGGAGATTGCTCGAATAATTCACGAAACGACTGACCAAGCGTCGTGGGGGCAGCGCGTCCGATCGCAAGTATTCACTACTGGGAAATATCGCCTGACTATAGACGGACGATTATCACTTAAGAAGTATATATATCTGAAAATAATGAAAAAATTCTGAAAGAATTACAAACTGACGTATATTGCACTTAAAAGCGACACCAAAAGTTTGACAATAATTCGGAGCCTGGATCAGAAATTATAGCACTTTAAAGAAAGTTGTAAGGTGGATGAATTTGGCAAGAATCCGATGAAACATGCACTGCGTATACATTGAAATATCATCTAACTCATTGCACTTGTGTGATCAGAAAAGGATTGGCCATTCGAGAGCTAAAATATCTGTAAATGAAATTGACACATTTTGTATACATATGAAATTCTTCGTTAATTTTACGCATTATTATTCTTACTCCATTTCCAACGCTTAGAGTAGGATTCTACCGTCTAACAAGCGAACAGCTATCGCATTTCACTACTTAACATTAATGACACACGTGCAACTGAGTTATATACGTAATACCGCCACTACTATGCGCATATTAAGTCCGATGATTCAGCCCGCGTTATTTCAGGGCATGGGACTCATTAGGTCCTGGGCGGACTCGGAGCTGCTTTTAAGTTAAAACCGAATATTAAGACCGAATGTCACGGCGCTCGACGCATTTATTTCGTTTACGAGCGAGTTCCAGCAAAGTACACCAAGTCGCTTCTACATCGACTCGAGAGAGAGAGAGAGAGGGACGCTGTATGCATGTCCGATCCAAAATTAAAGGGCCGTCCTTTCCTTTGAGAGAGGCATCAGACGGCCGCCGAAGCCGCCGGGCTAACGTTCGTACCGCATTAAAGGGAGGCGTGAGTTAACATTTACGGTGACATGTAACAACGTTTGTCATGTGGTAAATGAGGCCTTCGGAAAGTACCGTCGTAGTCGCCGGCGACGATGCGCCCCTTTGTCGGAGGACCCTTCGAGAGATTTTGCGAAAATGTCGGGCGCACGTAATGAAGCGTTCACGTTTCTCGCGCGACGGAGAGGCTTATCGCGATTGTTCTTTCGTTTACAGCTACTTTAGCTCGATAAATCGTCAAGGGTGACCTTCACCGAGCTCCGATTAAATTAATCGATAATACATTACTTACTTATTAATTAATTATTTATTATCATTCCAATGGTGAAGTTGCCAACGGCGAGTTTTTTTAGCTATGTAATCTGTCGTCCAACAATATCCAGCAAAATTAATAATTTTAACAAACGGTGTCCCACCATTTTCATGCTGGCAATTGTATCGATTGAATTAATCGCCGATTGGCTTGATCAAAATTTCGTGAAAATCATCCCGAATTACTAAATTACTGAATATAATTCGCGAGCCGCCGATATTTGTGTCGACTCGCGTTACTAAGGCGTAACACGCGCTGTCGAGATTCATCGAGCGTGTTCCGTTCAATTGTCGTTATATCCAATTTGGAGTATCATCGATATCGTTCGCAGGGGTTACAGTCGCCGGCAGACGTCCTCTGCATTTAATAGTATTTATTTGCGCGAAACGGGGTCACGTAATATACGGGAAGAACTTGGCCGCGCACACGCGTCTCTATGTAGTGTGTGTGTGTGCGACAGCTGTTGCAGCCCTCGTTTCTATTGTAAACTCGTGAGTCCGTGCAAAAATCTATTTCCGGGCAAAAACAATACGGCACTCCGTTGAAAACGCGACGCGACGCAGCTCTTTACATTCCGCTCTATTTTGCTCTTGCAGCGAGGAGAAATATCGAACCAATAATTTTCACCAATAAGTTACACATTTTTAATTACAACGAGAGCGGGGATGAAGAGGGACCATCGTCGATAATGTTGGGAGAAAAAGACAGTGCTTGGTAATTACGCGAATTCCTACGCAGAAAAGAAATTATGATCAAGACTCATATTCTCATGTATAAGCAGGAATATATAATCTTAGGTCAAGATCAAACCTGCTCTTGCATAGAGAGAAAATTTATATAGTTCCGCGAAAAATATATTCATGTTATTCAGGAATAAATTTTACGACTTGGTACGGATAAATGTAGGATCGAAAGTATGATATTTTCAAAGTATAAATTGTAGCAGCTTGAAAATATTATTCTTTTTATATCTAATGTTTCTTTTCTCTCATTTTATAAAAATTATTCTTGAATAACAGGAATATATTTTTAGCGGGACTGTACGAGAATTTAAAGTAAGGTTGGATGTAGAATGAAATCACGAATAATTATCGAGACTGAGGAAAGGAATTAACAGGTATTTATATCGGCACAATTCGAATCCTACCTCGAAAATATCCTGCCGACAAGGTTCCCAAAGGCATTCGCGAAGGTATCGATGTGGAAATAATTGATGCTCCTCCAGAGAAAGAGAGGGAGGGAGAGAGAAAGAGAGATGGAGAAGGAAGGAACAGAGAGCAGAGAATGTGAACGAGACGCGACGTGCACGAAGCAACTTTAGGAAATTGCGACAGAGGAAGGCACAAAGTAGACAAGTCGATTTTCCGCTTCAACTGTCGAGACACAACAGTCGGCTAGACGACAAGGGAATTGTTAGATACCGGACATCTATAAATTGATAGTCACGCACAACCAGTGTGGAGCCATAATAACTGTCGCCTTTGAGTCACGTTATGCTTCTATTTTGATAAAAGCGCACGTGCTTCGTGTCGCGAATTCTTACAAAATTATTAAAAGTTCTCCCGCATGTCTCTCTCGCGCACGACATTTTCATTTGTCATTCACCATAACTCATTTTCTACTTATCACAACTAAATATTCCAACTTTTATCAGTAACTTCGTAAGTTGATATCGAATCTCTTTCCAGTTATTCATTTACTTCACAAGAAAAGTGAGAAACACTGTTATTTTCCAGCAGAAAAGTGAGAAAACAATTTCTCCCGGGGTCTTGCATATATAGAGCCAAAATGTATCATAATCATTTATGAACGAATCTAGTTAAATCGTAATTATAATAATATAAATAATATAAATAATAATTTGATCGTTTTAAATTATGTGCCACTTTATATATCGCATTACGTCGGAATAAGTCGTTCGACTGTGTCCGCGTCGATAAACAGGGAAGGAGAATTAACGCTTAGCACATTCCCCATGGGCGAGAGTATCTCGAGAAAGGTGTAATTGAAATTCCGCGACAAATCCGTCGTGAAGCCGCTTGAAAACTGTCGACGGGGGTCGGTGGGGAACGGCGTTACTTTCTTTTTGAAGTAAATTGCGAAGCCGTTGGTATGTGTGCCGAGCAATCGCAACGACCGTGTGACAAACTCACCGATGAAACTACGACTATAATTGCGAGAAGATAAAGACTGAGCGTGTCCATTGGCGTGTTGCAAAAGGCACGTGAAAAAAAAAGCATTAAGGGGGTTTTCTGGTTTTAAGAGGCGAATTCAGGCGTATTTTGAGGATTTTTTCTTATGCATAAAAATTAAGATATAGCTAAAAAGCGATATATCGTTAAAAGGTATATTCAATGTAGATAAAAAAAAATTTATTTCACTCTATTTTGACACCAATTACCTAGTCCAATTTGGCGCCGAAGTTAGACCCATACCGCGAGCACAATCAAACGGTAGACAAGACAGAAGTGCCGTTTCGCGGATCTCACGGTGCTACTTGCCGAAATTGCAACTCCAGAAGAGCGATCGCTCCAACTTCGAAAGAGTTTTCTTTCGAACGAGATATTAAATTATCTTTACGAGTGCGAATTCGTTCGAATAATCGTAACATTTTCGTGACACGATTTCTCGCCATTTCGTTCCGCTTCTGACTGGCGATTCGCGAAACGCGACCGCGTTAATCGAGTTTTCTTTTTCAGCGACGGAATGCGTGTCGTGTAGAACACTCGGCGCTTATTTCACCGACGAAAAAAGTGGTCGATTTTTCCTCATTTCGATGTGACGAATTGAGTTAATCAGCCGCGAGTAGCGAGGCGTAATCGACTGCAGGCACGTGCGCGCGCGCGAGAAACGCCGAACGAAGCACGGCGTACGCTGAGAGAAGAATTAAAGTGCTAAACGGGAACACCGGATCACATTTTCTGCCGCCGCGTACGGAGCAGCTAATTGCCGCCAATGAAAAATTAGAATCGCCCGAGTGTGTCCCGTCAGCTGGCTTCCCGCAGGGAACGGGCAAGGGCGAATTGCCTGATTGCTAATTGGCGTGCAGCCTGGAAGAACAGCGCGTTATTTCACCCTTAACGAATTGATATTAGCATCGTAAGAAATTTTCGGGGGAGGAGGGTATTGCACGGTGCAGGGAATAATTGGCGATAAATTACACGGGGAGCGCGGCGCAGACGGCGATGATGTATACCGTCGGCGCGAATATCAATTTGTCTACGTTGCGTTTTTAATTTTTCTTCGACCGGCGAGGATC